ACAATTTCCGCAGCTTGCCCTTGCAAAGCACATTTAGTTATTTACCACCAGAGGGGCCTCCAGGTCCCCAGACCTGTGTTTAAATCCCAGTTCCACCCCCATGATTCCAGCTCTGACAAATAGCGTGGGCTTTCTGGGCCCACCAAGGCGTATCTGTAGAATGGGGGAGCACAACCATGTGGGACACCTGGTATATGGGATAAACCCTAGAACAGGCCTGTCAGTCAGAGCATTAACTCTAGGCTTCTTATGTATCAGGAATACAGTCTTGGATATTAACTCATTTGGGCCTCACAAAAACTCCTAAAAGACTCCCTCCCCCTATATAGTTTGAGACAGGATTTCACTATGTAGCTCAGGCTAGCCTGGAACTTGAGATTCCCCTGCCTCAGCCTCACAAAAGTGAAGACTACTCACTCCACTACTATGCCTCACTCTAGATGAAGAAGCAGGCTCAGAACTGAGAAAGTGCCCCTGTCTGAGAATACACACAGCCTAGGTGATAAAGCCAGGACTTATACCACAGCAGTCCAGCTGGCTAACGCCAGTCCATGCCATCTGCAGTGAGCTGATTCTCTGTGACATAGCTACTCTATATACAAGTCAAGGACACCAGTTTGAAAGTGGCCATATGTCCCAGGTAGACCTAGTCCCCAGAAATGGGTTATCCCTTCAAACGGATGTATGCCATTGGTTGTGAAAAAAAGATGTCATTTTGTCACTGGAAGCCCTTGGGGAAACTTCCATGTTGTAGATGGGAAGCCTGGTTCACAAGAGTCAAGCCATCATCTACTAAACACAGCTCAGCTGGGTGGAGATGGTCCAAGTCCCAAGCTTAAGCATGTCTGCCTCTTCTCCCCCATTTTCTCCCTGCACTTTACATCCATTCAGGAAGCTGGGCATGTGACTCAGTTGGCAGAGTGGTTGCCTATAAGCACAAAACCCAGTTCAGTTCCCAGTATACCCCATAAAGCCAGCCTGGTGCTGCATGCCTATAATCTCAACTTTTGGGAGGTAGAGGCAGGAGAATCTGACATTCAAACTCAACATGAAGCGAGTTCAAGGCCAGCCTTCAGACATACATTCTCTGTGGCTATATTAGAGGCAAGGCTCTGTCCTCAGGATATAGCTGGGCTCAGTGAATAGCTTTTGGGTAAAACAAAATAAAATTGTGTTGCTGTCACCTTGGGAACACTGTATTCATTTGATTTCATCCGGAGATAGGTTTCTTTTTCGAATGAGGTCTCAAAAGGTGGCTTGCCCACTAGCAAGGTGTACCTGGAGGTACAAGGAAGAATTTTGCTTAAACTCCCAGGAAAGTCCAAATGCATAAGTCATTGTCTAGAGGAAAGGGGCTGTGCTGGATTCACTGACTAGGAAGAGATGGGGGTGGTCTCCAAGTCTGCCTAGTGCCACGGTAACCTTGGCTAGGACAAGCCCTCAGAAGAATGTAGCTGATAACACGTGGATACTAAGGGGCCAGGAATTCCCCAGCTCTGGGCTGCAGTAATAGAGGACTCCAAGGAGCCCAGAGGCCACTGCTATCCACCGCAGGCCACCATGATGGGACTTCTGACTACCATCAGCCTTTCTGATGATCTAATTCTCCCATCAGTGCTCATCAGTGCTTCCAAAGCTTTCTTGAAAGTC